CCTTTCAACAAAACCTCCTCTACCTCCTCTGTTTCCTCTCCAACGCCTGCCTTCAAAGGGGGATCTCAAAGGTGCTCCACGCCCGAAGCCACCACGTCCTCCTGCTGACCTACCTCTCCACCCTTGTCCTCTCAACACTTTCTTTGGGCATTCTCTTTGCCAATGACCTTCTTCCCTGCAATTCGCACATTGATTTGGTCCTAATAGCATTCCTCCTTGCAGAGCCACAGCCAACAACTCGGTCTTTCTGTGCATTCTTGCCTCCTTTTCCTTTTTCTCTACTTTATCCCTATTAACAAACACTTTCCTCGCCACTTCTAACAATTCAGATGTATTTTTCCCCAAGGCTCCCTCTAACCTTTGCAACTTTCGTCTGATATCCTCATAACTCTGTGCTATAAAGCGCTCATTCAACATTCGCACATGGTTTTCCTGCCTGGGGTCTATCTGAGTATACAATTCATAAGCCTCTATCAACCTCTGCAAAAAACTTTCTGGACTTTCCTCCGCTCCCTGGATTACTAAAGACGGCTTTGACATATTTACTGGAGGTTTTCCAGCTTTGCGCAGCGCCTCCACCACCAGATTCTGGTACTCTTTCAGCGCTGTCATGTGGGCGTCATCACGAACATTCCACCCTGGATCAGTCTCTGGGGCTTTAGCCAAAACTACTGCTTGCAAATCCTGAGCGGCTGGATTCCTATCCCTCACACACGTTCTAACAGCCGCTTTCCACTTTTCCTTTTCCTCGGGCGTTAACAAGGTATTTAACAGCTGCTGAATATCCTGCCACGTGGGATTGTGAGTTTGCATAATGGTCTGAAACAAGTCTGCCATTTCCGTTGGCTTAACAGTTAAAGGACCATAATGCTGCTTCCAATTCAACAAATCTGTGGTGGTGAACGGAACGTATTGGAAAATGGATTTGATCTGTGCAGCTCCCTGTTGATCCATTACATGCTGATCCATCTGTCTCAAAGGAGCAAGCAGCTCCCCTCTCCTTGCCTTAGATCTGGTCATTACTCCCGTCGAGACTGCAATCTCAGTCTCCTCACTTCCCTCTTCATACAACTCTTCAGTTTCCCCTCCAGGGTGATCTCTCACCCCTCCTTTTTCCTCCTTAGGAGCAGTCGGCACAGACTTTCCCCCCCTTCTTCTCACCACAGCTTGCACGCTGTCAGCCTGTGCCGCAGCCCCTGCCCCAGGCTGAAGCAGAGGAGGTGCTGCCACAGGCTGGGGTGGGGGTGGCGGCTGTGGCACATACGGAGGGGGCCAGAGCACTGCTTCCTCTTCTTCTACCAAAACCTCCTTCCTTAAATCTGACAGTTTTGTTTCTGCGATCTTCACATCCTTATATTTTTTCTCCACTGCTTTCGACTTTTTCCCTTTTGGTCTAACTACACACAAACGCACCATTTCAGCCTGGCATTGTAGTAGATCATCTGCCCTTTCTGCTACTGCATCCCCCCACTGATCTATGTACTGGAATTGATTGGGATAATTTTCTTCATTGGCTGCAATCAGTGAGGTCAGATCATCAATAAGCTGGGTATTAAACGTTCCCTCGGGGCCAGCCTACATCTAAATGAGGCCACCAATCTTCACACAGGAAACACAGCCTATCCTTAGAAACTGGGGGATATGGCACTTTATACTTGGTGTGATTGAAATAGTGCTCAAAACCTTTTATCATACATTGAAGTGGTGTGCTAGGCACACTACTTTTCCCTCCCATTCTGGTACTAACACTGCCAATGCCACTGACCTACGGTGCTGGAAACTCAACAGTCACCTATAGGAAATGCAGCAGCAGATGGCTTAACCTCCCACACACACCTTAACACAGACTTCTTTAGGAACGACGTCCCGAGTCTAGGGGGGCGATCAATCCCCCTCTTCTATCTTCAAACGAGATAGGTACTTCCCCAGTTTAATACATACTCGCCTGAGGCGTCTTCACACACACACGTCCTGGCCAGGAGCAGTTCAGACCTCCTTTCCTTCCCCCAAGGGTTCTTGGACTAGCTATCTGCACCGTCGGCTCCGCAGAGAAGTCACTTCTGTCTCCCGGAGGGGATTCCCCCGTGGCGCCTGGAGAATGTTTCAGGAGTGGCTTCCCGTCGGGCCCGAGGGGTCAAGCTGTCCTCAGCGAAACATCGCCTGACCTTTGTCCCATCTGGGGTGCCAGGAAACTGTTGTGGAAATGAAGGGACACAAGCCAGCTCTTTGGAGAAGGAAAGTTTTAATATGCGCAGGTTCAGATGGCCAAAGCCAATACAAAGATCTGAACCCCAAGGAGCGTTCAGAGTACACATATATAGGTTATACAACGTATGCATTTCCTGACCCCTCTAGGCCCCATATATGGTAATATGTTAAACATTGTGATCTCAGCATTCCTGAGGGTATG